CAGACACTGACCCCTTCAGGGATCTGTTGGGAAGAGGCCCAAGGCACTCTTCTTTCCCCTTCCAAGGCTGCGTCCCTGCAAGGATGAGCAAACTGTCACAGAAAAAGCCAGGTACAGCCCCTCTCAGCATTCCCGGTGTTCTTATTTCAGAGGGGCCCCGCTCAAGAAGCAGAGCTGGGGGAGAGAGTGCACATGGTCTCCTTTAGCCAGCTCTTCCTTCAAGACCCTCTACAGCCATGATGGATCTTCCCTGGTCTCTGCTTTGCCCACCTCTGTCCCAATGCCTGGACAGACTCCAGACACGCTGGCAGGGAATGGGAGTGCTGTGCTCCTCAGGCTCAGCGGAGAAGCTCCGTCACCATGGACCTCTGGGGCCCTACTGCTGCTCCCACCCCTGCCACTACAGCCTCACATAGGGATGGAAGTTTTATGCCCAGGGATTTAACCTCCCTCAGGGTGTTGGCTGTTTGTCCTACCTTTCCTATTACAGCCCAGACCGGCCCTGCCCTGGGAATCAGCCTAGTGCTGGTTTTGTCTGGCCTTTTTCCTTCCGAGTTCCTTCAGGCACTCGGTGCTGTCCCACGCCTCAGCCGTGCCATCTCCATCACCATCTGCTCCCCCAGCCCTGAGCAGGGCAGCTTTCCCAGCGCGGCGCTCGCAAACAACTAGTTCATCCTCATGAAGAGATTTTTCAGATAGCAAGCTCAGCTCTCGGTTACAGTGTAGACATGTTTCTTCCCAGACCTGGGCAGGCATCTCAGCCACCCAAGGACCCAGCTTCCCCTCCCTGCTGCGGGCCAGCTGAGCCAAAGTGACTGCCAGCTTTGCAAGCACATCGGCCACACAACACATGCGCATTATAACCTTCACAGGAATAATTAGAAAAATTAGCAGGAGCTCCATCACAGACTAAGTAAGGCAACCCCCTGGCCAGGGATACAAGCAGAGAATGTAGCGCTTCTGCCCAGGGCTGCCCACAGCATGCCCCCTGCTTGCTACCAGGGCACAGTCATGCTCCATCCAGGTAGGGACTCAGTTCCTCAGGTCCCACTGCTGCCCTGGTTCCGCAGAGAAGGACAAAACCTGTAAGTAGTAGGGTCCTGGCAAGGGACACCTGCTTGCAGGGGTCCCCCATCCCTGGTGGTTTTTGAGGCACCACCCCTTACTGCTGGGAGCGCCTTAGTGGAAGTGCTCAGGTAGCCCAAAGTAATTATACTGGTCCCAGTCCCCAGGGCAGGATGTGACCCAGAGCCCCTTGGAGCTCAGGAGGGGTAAAGGCAGCTTTATGGTTTAGCACACTTTGCTTGATCTTACACAAAGCTCCCGTAGGGTCCCACATATCTTTGGTTGGCACGGGGAGCACAGCCCCTCCAGGCCAGCGTACCCAGTAAAGCACAAGGCACACCCAGGATCTTTATCAGCACCGCCACTTGCCCTTCCAGGGCTCCATGGTTTGTCTTCTGTGCACTCAGGGCAGTTTGCGCAAGGAGCTCCAAACCAAGCACAGGGCACTGGGGATTTCGGTAAAGCACCATCTCCCAGCCGCGCACAGCCAGGTGAGATGCTGTCACCACCTCCCACAGCTCTTGCCCCTGCCCAGCCACTCCAATGGACTAGGACAGAAGATGGGAGAGCACCCATTAGAGCCTGGCATCCCGATCCTACCCTCTCAGCCCTCTTCCCAGCATGGCAGCCTAGATCAGAATGACGGGAGTCCAGGTACCTATCCAGCATCGGCAGAGTCATTCACTTTGTTCCTACCACCTGAAGCTGCATATCTTCTGGCAGCAGCCAGAGCCAGCCTAGCCACCTACAAGCCTCGCATCTCTGACCATCCTGGCAAAATCCAGCCAGACTGTGGCAGCCAGTGCACAGCTCAGACAGCAGCAGCGAGCTTCCACAGCTAGTTCAGCTTCAGAAGTTCAGCTCAAGCAGTTTGTGTCCAAGGGCTATAAACCTGGCAGTGCAAATGGAGCATTTCACGCAAGCCCACAGAAACGCTACCGTCTGCAGCCCGGAGCCAGTCACCCACCTGGCAGAAGGCAATAGTCATCTTTTTTAGACAAAACTATCACAGTAGACACATTGTTTGCATGCAAGCTGCCTTAATAATGCAAAGCCAATCCTGGTCAAGTAGAGGATCACACAAGAGCCATCAATTCCCATCCTCCTTTCCCCACCCCTGGGTCCCTTATGCAGGTAGCACAGCACAGGTTTAGTCTGTGCCAAATGCTGCTAGGAGCCCCCAGGCCACCCCACTTAAACAGGGGCTCTCAGAGGTGCTAGGGGACACAGGCCAAGCTCTTGCAGAGAGACCCTGCTCCTTTCCACCCAGCTTTTGCTAACAGCTGAACACCTCCATGATCAGGCTCTTCCATTCAGGCCCAGCAAGAGTTAAAGGCAGCCTTGCTTCTGACCTCCCTCAGCCACCCTCCCCAGAGCTTGATGAGCCAGGGCCATATAACAGTGACAACTCCATCAGCCACTGCTGCCAACCTGGTGTGGAAGCAGAATTCAACTTCTTCAGATTAGGACAGTTATCAAATCAGTTTAATATACAGTCAACATATTGTAAAGGCATCTGAATCCTACAGTATTGCTATTGGCCATGGCCACCAAGCCCAGGAGACCACCTTTCTGGAAAGGCACAGCGAGGTAGGAAAGTTGGGGCATTTCCCCAGATTAGTTGCAAGTGAGAATGTGCACGCAGGACCTTCCTGGAGGCCCAAGATAACTAGAAACTTGTGCTTTCTGAAAGGAATGCTAATATACTGGGACAAGTAAGGCACCTGAAGTAACAGCCAAGGCCTCCTGGTGACGAAAGAGTCAAGAAACTTGTGCTGGCTTTTTCTATGCTAAAAGAGGAAAAAAGAAAGGGGTGGACAGGAGAGCCTGGCTCTGTGCGTGTGAAGGGTGTTTGGTGAGGCAGGAGCAAGAAAGATGCATAAGGTTGGTTTTGCCCTTGGCCAGTGACAAGGACTGTTATTTGTATTGCTTTGGACTCCGTTACTACCCCAGGGGTGAGTGAGAAGAAACCTGTGCTCCAGTATTGCCACCACATTTTCCTGTACCAGCAAAGCAACGGCAAAGCTCTGGAGCAAACAGAGCATCTGGAGTGGGGACAATGGTGTCACCAAGCATTTGGCTCGTCTTCTGTGGCAGCTAAGTGAGAAGTGGAACCACAGTGGTCTCCTCATGGCAAGAGAAGCAGGGAGTCCTGTGGCCCTGTGGGAAGGCACTGCTCACTGGCTGGGCAGGTCCAGAGGTCCTAATTCTCAAATTTTGCGTAAGGGTTCTCTTCCTTGAACAGGCCTAGAAGAGAAGAGAGATTAATTCAGAGAGCAGCTGCCATGTCAGCCACAGCCAGCAAGAACCTAGTTCTTGGTCACAACCCTGTCATTCGTGCTTCACCCAGCCTCCTGTCCCGCAGTCCTTCCAAAAGACCTGCTCTTACTCAAGCTGTGCATGCAGTCAGCACTATTTCACTCTCCTCTGCACAGGAGGAGAGAGCCGTTAAGAAGCTTGACCTGATGGCAAACTCCTCTCCCAGGCATTCCATATAAAGTCCAGGTAAAACAGCATGACTGATCTTCCAAAGCATGCCTTCTGCAAGCGTCTTCTGCTGGGCTAGACTCTGAAGTAGAGAGCCCCAGATCCAATTCAAGCCAACCTTAGACCTGCTCTAACACCCAGACTGAGAGACAGCAGAGCAAGGACACCAGGCTGACTTCTGAGGAAACGTCTCCAGCTTTCCCTAAGCTTTCCCGACAGCCCCCCAATAGCTGGAGACCACTATGCTGGGTGTGCATGAGCCTGACTGCTCCATACTCCACAGCCACCCTGGGAGAGCCCCCAACAGCCAGGCAGGAGGGACCCCTCCACCAGCTCCAAGTGACTGGCTGCTCCCCCCTTCTTTCCAGGCTTCTGTCCCCCTCAGGCAGGTCCACCTGCCCTGAGGCCATGGGACTCACCTGAAGTACAGTCCAGCCCAAGGAGGGAGGCTGTGTACTCCCAGAACCCAGGGACTGAGCCACCTCTCTGGGAACTGCTGCCAGCACAGAGGACCAGCTCTGTGATCCCATTGCTGCCTGCTCTGTGCTCCTGCAGCTGTAGGCACCCAGGGTTCTGCCTGAAGGGTGGCAGCATTATGGCTGGTGCTGTGTCTGCCAGCTTCTGCTTCTCCCCTCCAGTCAAGCCCCAGCTGCTTCTCCCACATGGTGAGTTTGGAGGACTCAGGTCCCAGAGAATGCTAAACACCCTCTCTTCCCTGCCCAAGAGGAGCAGCATTTGTGTGAGGTCACACACTGTGACCTGAGCATCTCTGCTCTTGCTCCCAGAAGGCAAGAGAGCAATTCCCCGAGACAAGGGAAGCGGGGACTGCTGTCCCTGCTGACCAGGTCTGCTCTGCAGATGTAACCATAGCAAGGAACACAGTTACGTAGGCTGCTCCATCTAAAGCTTAGTTTGGATCACTCATGTCAGCAGTGTACCATATTTTCTTCGGATTTCATCGTGCCGTGATTTCATCTCTGCTCTCCTGCACGAAGCAAACAAAAAAACCAAGTCAGTGACTGGCAATACAAAACCAAGCAAGAGGAACTACAGTTCCTTGCTTCTTCTCACCCCGGGGGCCTCCAGGCTGCCAGCTTTTCTCAGCCCCAAACCGCCCACCTCCTCAAGGCACTGGGGACTAGCAGAGCCCACACATGTCTGCAGCCCTCGGGGTCGGATACACAGCACTGTTGCACTGCTGCATCCGCAAGCCGCCCCGGAAAGACATTGCTCATGAGGTTTATGTTCATGCTGAGGTTGAAGCAGCCATCTGTCGAGCCCCACACACCCCATCATCACGTTTAACTGTACAGACAGGAGCCAAATCGTTCTGCAGCCGGAGGCAACACAGCATGCTCACAGGGGAGAGGGGGCTGCGGAGTGACCTCACCTCTCCTCCTGCCGCACCCGCCTCTTCTCCCGTTCCCTGGCTGCTCTTTCGTCATCCTTGTCTGGCCTGACAGAGAGAACAAACAGCCCATTAGATGTGCTCGGCACTCAGTTCTGCAACAGCACGTGGTTGCATCTGAGCTACTCCAAGAAAACAGGGAACCCCTCCGATACTTACTTTTTGCTCTTCTTCTTACAACAGCAGCAGCAGCAGCAGACCCCCAGCATGATGAGGATTGTTCCTCCCACCACGGACATCGCAATGATCAGGGCTTCAAAGTTCACTAAAGGATTTGACAAAACACATTTAGCACACAAACCGTGGCTGCCTGGCGTCAGAGCATTTACAAGTGTACAGCTCAGCAGCTTCAGTCACTGGGCTGAACGTGTGTAACAGCCTGAGAAAGCGAGGCGGACCGTTATCTATAGGTATAACGAGTGTTGGCACCAGCACATACACACCGAGTATGTGTAGCTCCTAACTATAGCGCCTGGTTACTGGCTGTGAAGAAAAGCAAGAACAAATGCACTCAGGTCAAACTCCCTCAGCAGAAACAGGAGCAAAGCTGTCTTAATCACTAGTCTGGGTGAACAGTAACCCACCAAGGGAAAAAAAACAACCTCAGTGCTGAGAAGCAGCCTCCAGTGGAAGGGCCACAACTGGCACTGGAGTTACTGTCCACAGCAGCCAGCCTCAGAAGTCACCTTAAGATGAGATGACAGTGGACTAGAAGCACTTCTGGGTGTCTGGAGTCCTTGGGTGAGAAGCAAAGCGAGACAAGATCTGCTGGGATTTATCAGCATGGGGCAGCAGTGCTGCTGAAGCAGCTGAAGGTGGAGGGCTGCTCCACGCACTGTACCACCACGTCTCCCACGGGGCTCAGGGTATCTGCTCGCCCATGCACAGGACAAAACCCACTGGGACGTGGTGGGGAAGCAGCTGTGAGCCTGGGTCCCAGGGGGACAGTCCTCCCACCCTGCTTCTGCAGTCACAGCAGAGACACCAGCCAAAAGGGACATAGCCAGACATCACCTGAAATCCCTTGCAACAAAGAACATTTTCTTCCAAGTATGATTCAGACTGTTCAGAGACTTGAGCCTGTGGAATTATTTGTTTAGGAGCCACTTCAGACACAGCAGCCAAGTTAGAGAAATCCTGGTGCACCTGAGCCTGCTCCAAGCACTTCAGATCCCCAGTTCTCCACGCAGCTCAGACTGCGAGCCCAGCAGAAAGCCTAAGCACTGCATGTGGTGCATACCAGAAGATGCCTGCCTGTGCTCTCGCTGCAGGGACTCAGTGGTAACAGGCTTCTTGGGGTGCTCCAAGCTGAGCTGACTCCACCATTAAAGTTGCTTTCAAAGCCTCCAGCTCGTGCTCCCACTGGAGAGCTTCATCGCTGCCAACAACCATGCCCCTGGACTCTCAAATCATACTGTGTCCCTAAGGGGGCTACCGTGGCAAGCATTGTGCAAGGAATGTGGTTCCAGATAACAACCCAGACAGCTGCCATGGCCTAGAGGTCACCAGAGAGACCAGAAGTCAGCAAGCTTCACCAGATGCTTGTGTTTGTCCTCACCAGTGGGCTCACACAGCCTCTCCAGCAGTCACCCAGCAGCAGGGAGGACTCAGGTTCCCAGTAGGACTTTGAAAAAGACAGTATTTGAGATCTGAATGCCCACAGCACTGTCTTGCCTTGGAGCAACGTGAAGCTTTCCCTGGCCAGCTGTACTGTGACGGACCCACAGAGTTGCATGGGGGAGAGCTCAAAAGACCAGTATCAGAAATCAGCCCAGTGGGGGCGAGAGAAACCCAAACAGGCTCTTCAGTTTAAAAGGGAGTTTCTCCCCCAGCACAGGTCTGTACTGGTGCTTCTGAAACCTTGGCTTCCAGGCCAAGTCTGGGGTTCAGATCACCCCTTCACACAGTGAGAGGACAGTGGCAGAGCACTGGGCACTCCTATGCCTGATGTTAAAAGGCTTAAGTCACACACACACTAAAAATGTAGACTCATTTAAGAGCTAATCTCCCACAGGGATAATCTCCTCTAAAAATCGAGTTTTGCAAGCTAAGGAATGTGTTCTTCTATAATGAAACCTTTTGTGAAGCTACTCACATAAAAACTCGTATTTCAAGGTCTTACACAAGGTTCAGAAGAGCACACTGTAATGCTCACAAAGAGGAGATTCTTCCTCCACGAGGAAGGGAACAGATGACAGGGAACCACAATTCAACTCCAAGTTCCCCATCAAAGGGCTAGATGAGAGAAACCAAGCCCCAGCTTGCTTCCTTGCTGCCCCAGCCCCCAAAAGCTGGGGTCTCTCTGTAATATCTCCAGAAACCCACTAAGAAACAGAGCACCAAAGAGGAAGGGCAGCCAAGTCAACCAGAAAAAGCTCCTGGAGGTGACCTGGCTGCAGGCAGCCAGCTGCAGCACAGCCTGTGCAGTGCTGGCTTTGGAAGAGTGTTCTCAGGTGGGTAAAATCTGAGCAGGACCACTGCACGCTCAGCCCTAGAAGCAGCCCATGCAGCCATCCCAAGAGGTCATCTCACTTCTGGTTCCAAGCGGGAATTTTAAGAGCCTACCCAGGACAGCAGCCACACTGCTGAAGGTAAAGAGCCAAAAGCCAGGCAAGGAATGGTACACAGGGTGCAAAGATTTGCTGAAGAGTCAGACACTGTTGAGCAGCAGGAAGATTTGCACAGGCAGCTGCCCACAGAGCATCTTCCACCCTTGTTCCTAGTTACTGGCCACATGTGGAAGCCTCTGCCATGCTAAAGCATGAGGAATATGTTTAGAGTAGCTAAAACCCCGCAGGTCCTTCTTGCCAGAAGGCAGGGACTGCTCACTCTGCTTTCTCACCCACGTTTCAGGAAGTTTGGAGAACCCTGATTGACTTCAGCATATCATTGCTACACCCGCAGTGAGAAAGGGAAGCAACGGAAACCTCCCATTCCCACTAACATGAGCAGCAAGCAGTCAACACAGCCATCACTCCAGCACGGTCCACTTACCCCAGCAGACTCCCCAGCGTGCAGAGCGGAGCTCACAGAGGTCAGCCGGGGGCAAGACTCTTCGGACGGGGTACTCCACACACCTCCCGCTGCTGGCACACCACAGGCACTGGGACACAGGAACCAGCAGCAGAGCGTTACTGGTGCTCAGCAGTGCTGCTAGTTAGCTTCTCTCTGTTGTTACCTGCAGCGACAGGGCCCACCACCGCCTGCTCCCAAGGGCCAGCTACCACCCAGCAGCAACGGGATGCTCTGGGGTAACAGCTGTGTTCAGGCAGCACGGGCTGCATCACACTTGCCTGCACCAGCGGAGGGTAGATTTCTAGTGCAAGTAAAATGCTGAGAACCCTTCTCCTGGCTCACATGATGGTAGGAATCACCAGATCTTTCCTGTTTATTGTGTGCAGCATTTTGAGGACAAGAAAGCCTATGAGACAAGCCACTCAACACAGAGCTGATGAGCATTTGCCACATGCTCAGGACAAGGGGAGGTGAGCAAACCCCTTACAAGAGGAAAACTGCTCTGTAACAGCCCCACAGAGCCCATGGTACATTTTCAGGCATCATGAGAGGTTGGGAATAGCTACTTACAGTGACATTTTTCAGACACTCCTCACAGCTCCTGTTCGTATATTGGTGACAATCTACAGGAAGGGGGAAAAAAAAAAAAAAAAACCAAAAAAACATGACAACTCTGTACTTTGAAGAGTTTCTCAGTGGTTTAAAACTGTGCTCCTCAGAGCTGGCTCCTGCCCACTGTTTGCCCACTCCAGGAGGCAGTTACCCCCATCGGACCAGCAACAACGAGCTGCCAGCTTAAACACATACTAGTGTCAGGGTGGGAGGCCCAAATGCAAATGGAAGTCATCTGCCTTGCCCACACTGATCCAGAGACCAGAGCAGCAAGTTCCCCTCCCTGGGTCTTATCTCCCTAAAAGCTTGAGCATCTGCTGTGGCCGGCAGGCAGCAGGACAGCTGGGGGACATAGCTAGGATCAGTCCGGAGGGACCCTGTGCGGCCAAGCATTAGGCAGGCGGTGCAGTCCTGTATCACTCAAGCAAACAAGCCCCAGACACGGAAGTTACTACCAGGAAAAGCAGAGGAACACAAGAAAGGACACACAGCTATAGTCTCCGTTGGAGCCCATACCCTCCCACAAGCCATACCCTGCCCCAACCAATTCATCCAAACCCTCCTTC